GGGGGGATATGGGAGGAGGGAGGGCATTTGGGGGGACCTCACCTAATGTGCATGATACGATGGTACATTTGAAAACTATTAAGAAATGAGTAAAATTGTGATGTTTTACTTAGTTCAATGTAAGTTTTTCATATCATATATCAAAGCAGTACACTGAACCCCATAAATGCATTAATGTGCAAAGTTATGATTTAATAAAAATGATAAAACAAAAAACATTTATGATCTCTCACGATTTCTGTGAGTCAGCAACTTGGCTATGCGTTTTTGACTCAGGGTCTATGGGGAGGTTGTAAGCAGGACATATCGGGGGCTGCACTCATCTGAAGGCTTGATTGAGGCTAAAGGATCTGACCCTATATGCCAACACTCCTTTGGGGCCCCTAAACCAGTCCCAAGGTGGCTCACTTTACTTGGCTGGTAAGTTGGTGCTAGCTGTTGAGGAAAGGGCTTCCGCTCCTCCTGTGTGGACCTCGGCACAGAACTGCTTGTGTGTCTTCACACCAGGGCAGCTATCTTTCCTGAGAAGACAGGAGAAGGCCAGATAGAAGCCACAATGCCCTTTCTGATCTGACCCTCAGGAGTCATGTCCCCTGACTTCCACAGTAACCTACTGATCACACGAGTCAGCCCCCTTCGGTGTGAGAGGGACCACACAAGGGTGTATATAATGGAGATGAGGCTCACAGGGACCATCCTAGAGGCCGACTACCACACCCTGGAAAGACGGTGATCAATAAACAAATGGGGTGCCAGAGCTTGAGAGCTGTTAGTCTAGATTTAGGATCATTGTTAAAGTTGATGTCATAGGAATTAGACTGCAAGACACCCTGGTTCCCCTCCCCACATCACTAATACAGCATCTCAGAGCCAGAAGCTCAAACCCTCCTCCAATGTAATTCTAATTCAGCTGCTTGTCATCAAACAGCAGGACAGCGAAGGTCTCCGTGTTCGCAGACCCAGAGACACAGAAGTGTTCTGATGACCCCAAGCTTGTGTTTCTCTTGGTAGAGAAGGCACTTCCTGTGTTCCTCCTCCTGGGGGAACATGGTGTCCTGTGACCATGGCAGGAGGACACAGCGTCCCATGGAGGAGCCGCTCCCAAGCCTGCCAGGGCAATCCCTCAAGAGCCCTAATCAGGGCCACTCGGTACACCAGAGTGTCCTTTATCCCGAAGTCACCTGGGAGCCAGAGGAAACTAGGGTAAGTCCCAGCCTGAAATTGTGCTGGCTCTGGGGGACTGTTGGGAAATGCTGATATGAGCTGGACTAGAGTCCAAAAAACACCCTCTTCTGGCACCCATGGGGACTCCAGCATAGGAGCACATGACTTATATATCTCAAGTACTTCCAGTCTTGCTGGCGGTAAGGACTGCATCCTGGAGAAGCTCTAGGGAATATTTATTGTTCATCTATTTCTGGTTTTAAAAGTAATACCCTTAAAATGGCTGTGATAAAACAACAACAACAACAACAAAACAGAAAATAACAGTGCTGGAGAGGATGTGAAGAAATTGGGACCCTCTATGGCACTGGGAGGAATGTAAAATGGTGCGGTGGCCATAAAAAACAGTTTGGTGGTCCTCAAAAAATGGAAGATAGAATTACCACGTGATCCAACACTTCCACCTTCTGGATCTATATTCAGGAGAGTTTAAAGCAAGGAGAGAAACATGTGTACACCTGTGTTCACAGCACCATTATTCACAGTAACGTAATGGAAAAAGACTTTTCTTTTTGAGGGGATGACAAAGTTCTTTGAAATAGTGGTGGTGGTTGCCCAACGCTGTGAATGTAATGAATGCCACTGAGTTACACATCTAAAAATAGCTAAAATGGTAAACTTTATGTTATATAACATTTTACTATAATTTAAAAATAATACTACAAGCCTCTCTCACCTCTGCTCCTTCCTGAGAGGGACCCACTTCCAACTCTCTTTGGAAGTGCTCTAAACTTTCTCTTTGTTCATCCGAAATAAACTCTCTCTTCGTTATCTTGGAAAAAGTAATAATACTAAAATGTTATCTGAAAACCCCAATATTATAAAAGTGTTTATAGTGGAGAGGAAAAACACTCACTACTGAGATGAGTCCTGGCCAGCTTGTTCCTGAGGCTTCCAGATTTCTTTCTTCTTCTTCTTCTTCTTTTTTGAGACAGAGTTTCACTTTGTTGCCCTGGGTAGAGTGCTGTAGTGTCATAGCTCGCAGCAACCTCAAAGTCTCCGGCTCAAGCAATTCTCTTTCCTCAGTCTCCCAAGTAGCTGGGACTACAGGTGCCCGCCACAACGTCTGGCTATTTCTAGAGACGAGTCTCATTCTGGCTCAGGCTGGTCTCACACACCTGTGAGCTCAGGTGATCCACCCACCTTGGTTTCCCAGAGTGCTAGGATTACAGGTGTGAGCCACCACACCTGGCCTTAGATTTCTATGTGAATCAGATCTTAAGATTCAAATGTGACTGGGCAGAACCCACCTGTGCCTTGCACAGGGAGCCCCTCCCCTTCTCTCTGGGAGATCTTGACACCACAGCATGGTAGTTGAGAGAAAAGTTGTGTAGGGGGATGGTTTAGGATCAAATTGGAGTTCCACAATTTGCTAGGTAATGTACCTCCACATTCCTCGTCTATTGCATCTCTGATGTCACAGTCTGTTGTGAGGATTACAGGAGTCAATATGGTGTGTATATAGTACAAAGCGGTTTGTTTGGCTTTTTTTGGTTTTTTTTTTTTTGGTTTTTTTTGAGACAGAGCCTCGAGCTGTCGCCCTGGGTAGAGTGCAATGGCATCACAGCTCACAGCGACCCCCAACTCCTGGGCTCAAGCAATTCTCTTGCCTCCACCTCCCAAGTAGCCAGGACTACAGGCACCCGCCACAACGCCCAGCTATTTTTTGGTTGCAGCCATCATTGTTGTTTGGTGGGCCCAGGTTGGATTTGAACCCGCCACCTTAGGTGTATGTGGCTGGCGCCTTAGCCGCTTGAGCCACAGGCACCGAGCCATACCAAGTGTTTTTTATTGATTAATTTAATTTAACTTAATTTAATTATTTTGAGATAGAGTCTCACTTTGTTGCCCTCAGTAGAGTGCTATGGTATCACAGCCCACAGCAACCTCAAACTCCTGGGCTTAAGCAATTCTCTTGCCTCAGCCTCCCAAGTAGCCAGGACTATAGGCCCCCGCCACAATGCCTGGCTATTTTTAGAGACAGGATCTCGGTCTGGCTCAGGCTGGTCTTGAACCTGTGAGCTCAGGTCATCTACCCACCTTGGCCTCCCAGAGTGTTAGGATTACAGGTGTGAGCCACCACGCCTGGCCTACAAAGTGTTTTTTAAAGGCACTTAGCATGAGTGAGCTTCAGCTTTATTGCCCTTAGATGAAGTCTCAGAGCATCTTGGAAGTTTCCAGACCCACCCAGGAACCCGCCCACCCTCTGTCCCATTTCCTTTTAGTGCCTCATTGCTGTTTGGCCTCATTGGCCCTTTGCTAAATCCATCCAGTAAACCTCTGGAGGCCAGGTGGGTTTGCCAAGACATTTTTACAGGGAGGTTCCTGCACTTACAGTGGGCCAGGAGTGGAGGTGGCTGCAGTGGCCTTAGTGACCTGGAATGCAGAAGCGAGAGCATCTGCAATCATATCCTTGGGCATCTACTGTGCTACAGCAGCAGTGGTGGCACATGAACCAGTTACTGCACGTTACTCTGTGCCCAATGCTGTGTTCAGTGCTTGACACCTGCTGTTCCATCAAGTCTTCCAAACACCTCTCTGAGCCAAGGATTGTCATTATCCCTAGCTTCCAAAAGAGAGTCAATTATCTGCCCCACATCACCCAGAAGTCAGTCAAAAGGTCATGAGTCAAACCCAGGTTTGTCTGATTCCCAAGCACACATCGCCCCCAATAGGCAGCTGTCCAGGACAGCACCATGGCCCAGAAAGGGAAAGGCCTGGGCCAGACCAGGCCTGGGTATCGCCACCCTGAGGGCTCCTTGGGAGGGAGAAAGGAGGCCCCAGAAGACCCTCCCAGAGCCTGCCCCCCAGCATGTCCCAGGCCTTTTCTAGAAAAGCCCTGAAGGGCCTGAACCCCCTTGGAAAGAAATAGGTGACAAGCTGGACTCAGAGACCTGGAGTCAGAGGTAAAAGTCAACGTGTCGACTCCTTGGCAACAAAGGCTTAAACTAGCTCTTCTCTGAGGCTCCCGCCACGAAGGAGTCTGTGTACCTCCACAGGTGGGGGCAAAGCCCATTCCCAAGCCTGCAACTGCCCACAGCTGGCTGTGCTAATGCCAATACCCGGTCCCTAGAACTCTGCCTCTAACCCCAGTAACTGCAAAGTCAGCTCCAGGCTGGCAGGCTGCTTGGTAGGCAGCTCCTGGGCAGAGGACACCAGGGGTCCACAGGATTCAGCACCTGCTCTCCCCTTCGTCCTGGGCTCATTCCTCAACCCTGAAGCCCTTGGACGTAGCAGTCAAGACATTTCTGAAATAAGCATGCATCACTTTTACAGAGGGCCTGGGGTGGGATGGGTTAAGCTAAACCTAACTTAAATAAGTCATATTCAAGGTTTAAGATCTTTGCAAGGAGAAATAATCTCCCCCACTGTGCTGTGAGCTCTCCAAGGCCAATGGCCGTGGGCTGCTCACCTCCAGACTTGCCCCTCAGAGTGAGGCGCCTCACACGCTGCACAGTCGCTGTTTGCTGGGTGTCCAGTGCCTGGACAGTGACGTTGGGGGTATTTAATAAATAGCTGTTGGCTAAATGCACACACCTGGGTTGTGTGTTATCTTGGGATAATGTGTGACGTCTTTTTCCATCTCCCCTTAGAGTATTCCCGACACACCTCTTTCCTGCACACCCTGCCCTGACCCTTCCTGCAGTCTCATCAACCCAGCCCTCAGAGTCCCCTAAGGTGTCCCTCACCAGGCTGCTACTTAGCTCTGCCAAGCAACAACCCCTTCCGCACTTCAGGCCAAGTCACAAGGAGGAATCACATGCCATCAGCCAGGACTAGATTCTCAACAGCTTTATTGAATACGGAGAGGTGGTGTCCCCTCCCACTGGACATCTGTCCTCAGGCTCATACCAGACCTGCTTTGGGACAGACGGACAGACAGGGGGTGGGACAGGGCAAGTGTCCTTGGAGGTGGGCCCAGAGCACCAGGGGCAGCTCAGCTCTCTAAAGGGAGGGGCCGCTGTTCCTGCACCTGTTCTGGCATCTGTTCCTCGTTTTTTTCCGGGGCCTGCTCCTGCACCTGTTCGGGGAGGGCAAGGGTCTTGTCCTGGCTCTCTTTCTCTTTGAGGGTGCTGAAGAAGGAGTTGACCTTGTCCCTCAGGTCCTTCTCCAAGAAGCTCAAGTGGCCTTCCATGGCCCCCGCAAAGGGGCCCAGGCTCTGCCTGAGTCCCTCCATCTGCTGCACCAAAACCTTGTTGAAGTTCTCCACTGGGGGCGCCACGTTGCGGCGAAACTCCTCCACCTGCCGGTCCAGGTGGCCACTCAGCTCCGTCAGGGACTTCTGCAGACCCTCGGTGTTGTCCTTCAGCTTGCTGTGCACATCCTCGGCCACCGGCGCCAGCTTCTGCCGCAGCTCCTCGGCGTTGGCTGAGATCTTGGCCTTGAGCTCCTCAGCGTTCTTCTTCATCTGGAAGGCCAGGCCCTCGAGCTGGTGGTTCAGCTTCTCCTGGACGTCCTGAGCATAGGGGGCCAGGCTGCGGCGCAGCTCTTCCACGTTCTGGTCGATCTTGACCTTGAGGTCGTCGGCGTAGGGCGTGAGGCGCCCCTTGAGCTCTTCCACGTTCTGGTCTATCTTGGTCTTGAGCTCGTCGGCATAGGGCGTCAGCGAGGCCTGCAGGTTGTCAGCGTTCTCCCGCAGCACCCTCTCCATGCGCTGCGCGTAGGGGCTCAGCTGGCGCTGCAGCTGCTCTGTCTGCGTCATGACCTGGGAGTGCAGCTCGGTAGTGTAGGGCCCCAGGCGCAGCTGCAGCTCGCGCATGTTGTCCCCGATCTTCTGGCTCACCTCCTGGGCATGGGGCAGAAACCGAGCCTTCAGCTCCTCCATTTCCTTCTGAATCTCCTGCTTCAGCTTCTCCGAGTCCTTGGTCAGGCGTTCGTGCAGCTCTGTGGCGAAGGGCACCACCTTCTTCTGCAGGTCATCCGCGTATGTGTTCACATCCTCAAGTTTGTCCTGGAAGAGGGCGCTGTGGGGAAGGGCACCGGGGCCACTATTATGCTTGGCATTTGCTTGGCAGGACCTCGTCTGCTTGTACACCACTCACCCCATACACCTTCCTAGAACAGGGTATGGAGTTCACCCATCTTTTCCCCTGGGGCCCTCTCTAAGGTGGATCACCCTTGGAGAGAGGGGTGTGATAGATTCAGTGATGACAATGACTCTGTGTCTCTGGGTCTCCCACTGAGTTTGTCTGGGTGTTTCCCCATCACATGACCATGACCAGCACTTTGCTTTCCCTCCTTGTCTGTAAAGTGCAGGGTTGGACTTGGAGGTCTTTCCAGCTCAGGTGTGTGTGACAGAGGATCACCCTGTGTGGCAATCGTGTGTTATGTCCTCAGCCTCTGCCGAGGTCTTCTAGCAGCAAAGGTGATTTCCTTGCATGTGCCCAGAGACTTCCCAAATAGCCCCGCCTCCCCCTGCTGGACTTCACTGGAGCTAGCCCTGGGGAATATATTGGAAGCCACCACATGACATCTCCTTCGCTCCCTCTCTTCCATGAGTCTCAACAATAAGATGTGGCCATTGTCAAAGTCTAGAATATTGAAATAGGAAGGCCCCTTAGCAATTATTCAATCCAACATTCCTTTTATGTGCCTAGATCCTAGTGGCCTCAGGGTCACCTAGTGGGCTAGTGGTAGAGCAGTGGCTATCCCAAGCTCAGCAGCCCAGCCCTGGCCAGTGCATCACATGGCCTTTAGGAGCACCCTGCACCATACCCCAAGCAGGGCCACCACTTACTTGAGCTGCTGGGTGAGTTCAGACTTCTGAAGATGTTCCACAGCTTCCTTGGCGTTGTTGCTCAGCTGGCTGAAGTAGTCCCATACCACAGTGGCCACCTGGTCAGCAGTGATGTCTGCCCGGGCACCTGAGCAGGTAGCAGAGAACAACTCATAAGGACTCAGCTCTTTCCTGGCCCATCTGCTCCAGCTGTGAGCTGCAGACTAGACATTGGAGGAGCCAAACCCACCAGTTTCCCTGTCTGGGCTTAGGTTGTGGGAAGCCAGAGGGACACGTGAAACACGTCCAGCACCAGAGCCAGTAGGCCCCCTGCTAGGAATGAGCCAGCTCTCTTGTGAGCCAGTTGGCAACTAAGCAGCCCTCCATGTCCACTGGAGGCTGACAGGCTCTCAGCACTGTCCTCTTTACCTTGGCCCAGTCTCTCTGTCTGCCCCACTCACTGCAGCAGCCTAAGAGCCTCCTCCAAAAACAGCTTCTACTCACTGGTGACAGCCACCAGGGCCAGGGTCAGGGCCACAGCCTTCAGGAACATCATAGGCTCCTTGCTGGGCTGGAGGAGTCTTGTGGTGCACTGGATCCTTCCTGGAATCAGAGGAAGCCAAGGAGAGGTCCTCAGTAGCTCAGTAGGGTCCAGTAGAGGTCCTGCAGTGAACTGACTGCAGCCTGGAGCCAGCCGGCCATTTAAACTCCCACCTGGCTCCCCGCCCCACCTCCCTCTCTGGTGTGACTCCACGCTGGAAGGTGACACATTCCCAGGAGGCCTCTTGGACTTTAGTGATCTTAAGATTACGTGGAAGCTGAGAGCAGACTGGGGCTTAGGTGGCAGTCAGAAGCTGCTGTTCTCAGTTTGAGCCCCACCCAGTGTGGAGGGGGCAGGGAGCCAAGAGGGGAAGGAACACGGCCTAGGGAAACCCCCGAGCCCAGGGGCACCGCTGGCAGCTCTGGGTCTGTGCCAGGCTTAGTAGGGTCAAAACCCATATCTCTGGGAGAACACCCCTACCCCACATCTGCCACCAACCCTGACTCCATCTCAGAACTTCACTAGCCCCTGGATGGAGTCCACACAGGGCTGCAGATGGGGCAGCAGGCAAAGACCTGAGTCTCTTGTCAAGGTGCACCAGGGAGAGAGAAGCCCTTGAGAGCCTTTGCAGGATGGTGGATGGAAATGTACTCATATCCCACCACTGCCAAGCTGTGCCAACTCGGTCTAGTTATTCAAAGCTCCAAGCATCAGTTTTCCCTCTGAACGATGGAGTTGTTCAATACATTCAATAAGACATTGCTGGTGAAGTGGGCAATACGGCCGTCCCTCAGTCCCTAGAACAGCAGTTCTCAACCTGTGGGTCGCGACCCCTTTGGGAGTCAAATGACCCTTTCACATGGGGCGCCTAAATACATCCTGCATATCAGATATTTACATTACAATTCATAACAGTAGCAAAATTACAGTTATGAAGTAGCAACAAAAATAATTTTATAGTTGGGGGTCACCACATCCTGAGGAACTGTATTAAAGGCTTACAGCATTAGGAAGGTTGAGAACCACGGCCCTGGAACCTCTGGCAGATCTCAGAACCACAGATGACAAGTGCCTTATAGAAAATGGTGTAGTGTGTGCATGTCACCTCCCTGGCTCCTCCTGTGTACTTTAGATCAGCTTTGGGTTACGTACACGACCTAATACAACATAAACGTTATATGAATACTTGTTTTACTGCACTGTTATTAAGGAATAATGACAAGGAAAAAGTCTGTGCATGTTTAATACAGACACAAATTTTTCCTAAATATTTCCTATCCATAATTGGTTGAATCTGCAGATGAAGAACCCACAGATGGGGAGGGCTGCCTGTGTTGTGCAGGCTCAGAGTAAGCATGGAAAAAGTGGTGCTGTTGTTATTATTCACTTCGTTTTCCTGGGTCGGGCACCGTGGCTCACACCTGTAATCCTAGCACTCTGGGAGGCCAAAGCTGGTGGATTGCCTGAGCTCAGGAGTTCAAGATCAGTCCAAGCAAGAGTGAGATCCCATCTCTACTAAAAATAGAAAAACTAAGCGAGTGTGGCGGCACGTAGTCCCAGCTACTTGGGAGGCTGAGGCAAGAGGATCTCTTGAGTCCAAGTGGTTGAGGTTGCTGTGAGCTATGATGACGCCACGGCACTCCACCCAGGGTGACTGACTGAGACTCTGTCTCAAAAACAAAAACAAAACAAAACAAATTATATATACATATATGTATATATACATACACACATACAATTACATATATATACAAATATATATAATTTTCCTGATTTGGATAAAACCAAGGAAATCAGTAGAGGGACAGTGGCAGGTGAGACCCAGCTCTCTGTGGGCACCAGGTGGGCCGGAGGCAGGTGATGGAGAGGGTGGCCTGAGACCTGACTCCTGCCCACCCCACCCCCTGGCCAGGCTCTCAGGGGTCCTCGTGGCAGGGGAGAGGGAATGGTAGTGGTAATGCCTGTGTGCGCAGTCACAGAAAGACAATATACCATGGTCAACTTGGGTCTCTCTACTGGAGCGCACCACTCCCAGTGACTGTGTGGTGACATCATCATGTTGCCCTGTTTGACCTGTCTGTGCGTGCAGTCCCCAGCGCCTTGGTGGGCTATGGTATGTAAGAATGACAACTGTCAGAGTAGACTGGCATTGTGCTAACTCTGCTTTACCACGTCCTCATTTTTTCTGATACCAAAAGTGACTTGATGTCTTTTTTTTTAAATTATTTTTTATTAAATTGTAACTTTGTACATTGATGCATTTGTGGGGTTCAAGGTACTGCTTCGATATACCATGTGAAATGTTTACATTGAACTAAGTAACACATCCATCACAATTATACTCATTTCTTAGACTTGATGTCCTAGAGGGTTGAAGACACCCAGATGGATGTCACTGACGCTGGCACCCCTTCTGCCGGGTCCCCCACTGCTCTGCAGTGGTCCTCACCCCACCACGCTGCCTCCAGTGTCCCAGAGCTCGGCCCTCCCTATCTGTGCTGTCTCTCCATAGTTGTTGGGTTCAGACTCTGGGGTCCAAACTCCCTGGCTTTGCCTCCAGGCTCTGCCACGTACTGCCTTGCGCCCTTGGCCAAGTCTCATAACCCCTATAGCCTCATCTGCCTGCTAAACTGAGGATTAGTCCATGTAATGCTCATAGCTATGTGTGCCACATAATAAGGGCTCAGTCAGTAAAAGGCTCACTGTCCTGTTAGGTTGACCCATTAGCCCCAGTCCCATTCCCAAGTCAAGCCCAGTCCAGCCTGCAGCAGGAGCAAAGGTCCCTTTGCTCAGTGCCCCTGTCCCTTCCCTTAGGGACAGAGCTGAGGAGACAATGAGTCATGAAGGACACTTCAGCTGCAATTTGACCTCCTGGACTTACAGTCTGAGCAGCAGGGGCCACCAGCATGTGACAGGTCTCGAGGTGCTTCTGTCGTACCCGTCTGCCCAGGTGTACCCACGCTGGGCGTGCCATGCCATCCGAGCACGTCCAGGACGTCTACAGATTCACAGGACTGTGCAGATAGCGGGGCAGTCATTGGGCGCAGCCTGGGCCAGCTGCTTCCCAGCGTGGCAGGGCTGCGACACCGTTAATTAATGCATTTACTTCCCAAAGGTCTGTACTGTTCTATAGATGGATTTGTGTTGGGGAAAGGGACACAGTGAGAGCCCTTTGCCTGGTCTCAGAGGTTGAGCTGCTGATGGGCAGAGCAGATGGTCAGCCAGCCAGGCCTGGTCCTGTAAGTCAGGGGACATCCCCGTTAGTGTGCACAAAGAGCCTGTGTGATCTTGAGTGAGTCATGTCCCTCTCTGAGCCTCAGTCCCCTTGTCTGGACAACAGACAGACCTAATGGTTGGTGAGACAGTGGTGAGAGTTCAGCATTCCCTACCATCACCCGGCCTGGCCATCCATGCAGGGATCAAGCCAGGGGTCAGTCCAGAGGTCAGAGTCAGAAGTGGACAGCGCAGACCAGGCAGGGACAGGCTCAGCCAGGGACAGGCAGGTCACACGGACATGTGCCTCACGTATGCTTCACACTGGCCCTTCTCCCAGGGCAGAACCAAAGGGGGGCAGCTCCTATTGACAGAAAGGATCTGGATGAGATACTAGGAGGAACTGCCAGCATGGAGAGGTAGAACAAACAAGGGCCTCTGGCCTGCAGCGCTGAATCAGGGCTGCCCAGCCCGGCCTGGTGGCACAGGCGTGGCTCATGGGCTCATATCATGGACACAGGCAGAAGCAGAGAGAGTTGGCCCAACCCCAGAGAACCATTTTTGGCCCCAACTAGTCGAGCCCCCCCTTCCTCCCACCTACCACTAGGTGCTCCCTGAAGCTAGGTCTGTGGGCCAAGAGCAATCTCCTTATTCTGGTGGGGAGAGTATTGGGAGGGAGAGAGAGCTAAGGCTGGTTACAGAGAGGGCTCCACCCCACCCCGCAGCCCAGGCTGGACTGCAGGAGGGACGTGGGCACTCACAGGAGCCAAGCCCTGTGAAAGAGACAAAGCCCCAGGCCTCCTAGAGTTGGGCTGCCTCCAGCTCAGTACCACACCACCGGGTCTCTCTGCCCAAGTCCTCTGACCTCTCTGGGCTCAGTGGCCCACTGCCACACAGGAGAGAGAGAATAGGCTTCTCCTGACCCTCTGCACAGGGGAATGGGACCCAGCCAGCCCTTTCTAGCACGCCTGGGTCCAAGGACCTTGTTGCCCACCCCAGCCTGGAATCAAGATCCCCCTGGTAAGGAACAGGCTAGAACAGAGGAGGGACGTGGGCATAGCTGGTCCTCTCCCTTCCCATGCTCAAATCCTCTATCCCCTCACAAAGTCCACTCTTAGAAAAGGATCTGAAATGGATTTGCCCTGAGGTGTGTAATGCTGTAATTTCTTTCTGTAGGACCCAACTGGGTGTTTGGAGACCCAAATTCTGGCTCTCAGCCCCACCAATGACGGGCTGAGCACGGGTAGGTCTCTATCCTTTAAGCCCGTAGGTTTCTTACCTACAAAATGGAATTAATGTTGATGTCACAGTAGTCTGTCGATTCTCATTTTAGTGGAAAAGAAAGTCTTTTTTTGTTTGTTTTGTGACAGAGCCTCAAGCTGTTGCCTTGGGTAGAGTGCGGTGGCATCACAACTCACAGCAACCTCCAACTCCTAGGGCTAAAGCAATTCTCCTACCTCCGCCTCCCAAGTAGGGACCACAGGCACCCGCCACAACACCCAGCTATTTTTTTGGTTGCAGCCATCATTGTTGTTTGGCGAGCCCAGGCTGGATTCGAACCCACCAGCTCAAGTGTATATGGCTGGCTCCTTAGCCTCTTGAGCCACAGGCGCTGAGCTGGGAAAGAAAGTCTTAAGTCAAAGGAATGAATCTCTAATAGAGGAATTTCAGGTCTCAGCCACAAATAAAGAATTCTGAAGGTAGAGCCAGGCACTTTCTCAGGCCTCTGGTTTCATGCCAGGGAGTTAGTAACTTCTTCCTGAAAGGTGGCTACTTTCCAAAGCCCTGTCTTTATGTTAGAGGCCCCTTCTGCCTTCAGACGACACTGTGGGAAAGGATGTAGTGTCCGCGAGGAAGAGAGAGAGGTTTGTCGAGCCCCCTCCATGGACCAGCTGCTTTGTACTTATCTCATTTACTTTTCACCACAACTCTGGAAAATTGACATTCTGTCCCCATTTTATCCTGAGAAATTTGAGGCTCTAAGGTGGTAGGTCTTTGGCCATAGGCCATATGAGTAAATGCTCAAGGCATCTCTTAATTCTAAGATTTCTTGGCTCCAAGGTCTTTGCCTCTGGAAAACAAAGCTCCCTATCCTGCCATCCGGACTACAGCTCCTGCTGTGGGCCAGTGGGGAGGGTCAGAGGCTTCTCCTGGACACTGGCTGCCCCGTACAGCACCTCTGAGCCCTCTCCTCACCAGCCAGGGGGACTGTGAGCACTGCTATTTACCCGCTGAGGAACCCGAGGCCCAGGGTGAGAGACTCAGCCTCAATCACCTCTGGGGAGGGCCCTGGCCATCAGCCCAGCTCCTGGCCCAGGCAGTGTTATCAGTGGGGTCCAGAGAGCAATGTGAGGAACAGGGGAGGGGGGCACAGAGGCCTTGGGCTCAGAGCAGCCTTTGCCCTTCTCCCACCAATCCTTGCCCTCCTGGACTGAAGCCCAGAGTGGGAGGTGCTAGGGAGGGCTGCGTGAGCGCCACTGTGTCACCCTCCCCCACAACGCCCTGCCCACTGCTCTTCGGGGCCCTCAATCTAGACACCCCCACCCCAGCCCACTGACTTATTCTCAACTCTGAAGAAGCCCTCACTTCCACTCTAGGCTGATTTCAGTGCTTTGGGGCGTCAGATAGAGGGGCCTAAAAACTCAAGTGTAAAGGGCTGAGAAGGGCCTGAGGCCACTAAACCCTCTCCCATGTCACCAACCTCTCCCTAGGGAGCCAGTCCGCTGAGAAGGAGTGGGCTCTCCCCAGGCCTACCCCAGCTCCTGGGCTACGGGCGTGGCAGGGGACCAGCGTGGGCATAGTCTCCCAGGGATTTCCCAACTGTCAGCAGCTGGCTGCATCTGGCCTCCCTGCCTCGGGCCCTAGTCTGGACTGGTCAGCAGGTGACCTTTGCCCAGCTCATTGGGTCCTCAGTGCCCGCTGCCCTGGGGACAATATAAAACAGGTCAGAGCCCTCTGGCCTGTCTACTCAGTTCATCCCTAGAAGCAGCTGCTCCAGGTAATGCCCCCGGGGAGAGTGGAGGATAGGGGAGGATGTCAAGGCAGAGGAGGCCCCCTCCAGCCCAGCCAGCAGCCTGCAGAGAGCTTGACAGCCCTGTGGTAGCTTAAGGACCTGAGGAATCTTCCTTACCCTCAATTAGGGGAAATGGAGGACCAAGAGGGAGGTCACTTGCCCAAAGCTGCATAAAGCACAGGGCTGGAAATGGCTCTGAGTCTGCAGCTCCCCCTCATTCCACGTGCCTGGGAAGAAGCATTAGGCAACCCAGTCTTACCCTACACAGGGCAACTGAGGCCTGGGAAGGGCAGAGATCTGCCCAAAGTCAGACTGCACACTAGTGGCAGAGACTGGGTCAGGCCCCAGGTGCTTTGTCTCCTAGGCTGGTAGGTTTTCTGCTCTGTCCTGTCCCCTCCCTCAAGACCTCCCCCCACCTCCACACCCAAAGTCCCCTGTCTCAGAGCCATGGCCCAGCTCAGGTTCCACCTTAGGGGCCACTTCCCCAGAGAGGGGGCCAGAGGTGGTGGGGAGGGTGGTGGGGTGTTCCTCACAGGACACTTCCCGCAGGAGCAGAGGCGCCATGCAGTCCCGGGTGGTCCTCGCTGTCGCCCTGGTGGCACTACTGGCCTCTGCCCGTAAGCGCTTTGTGGGGACTGGGGTGGGGGCAGGGTGGGAGGTGGTTCGAGGATCCCAGCCCTGATGTGTGGCCAGGCTGGAGCCAAGGGCTCACCCTAGAGGCCGATCCAGCCCTGCTCAGTTCTGCTCTCCCCGCAGGAGCTCAAGAGGCCGAGGATGCCTCCCTCCTGGGCTTCATGCAGGGCTACATGCACCAGGCCACCAAGACCGCCCAGGACGCGCTGACCAGAGTAAAGGAGTTTGAGATGGCCCAGCAGGCCAGGTACACCCACCAGCTCTCCTTCCCCATGTCCCCAGCTACCCTTGGCCTGGCGAGAGCCCTGGTACTGGGACTGTGGCCCTC